GTATGTCCTAAAAAATATGTCACACAGCTCACTGTTTGCACTAAAAAAAAAAAAAAAAGAAAAAGAAAAAAGTTAGTATAGGTGATCAAAGAGAGTAAATGATGGGCCTAAACTACAAGGAAAGTAAAAAGAAGCTGTCACATCAGATTTTGGGGTGTTCTCAAAGGATAGAAAATTATTCCATTGTTGCAAAACTATCAGAATTTCCACTGTGAAAATAAATGTTTGCCCACATGATTTTTCACTCACTCTTTTATGGTCTTTGTTTTCTTTTTCTTTAAAAGAAAATGTAATAAGCAGCCCCAAAGAAAGCTTTTATCCTTGCTTTTGGGTTTTCTTGCAGAGGTCTTCATAATTAAAAAAATTAAAAAATCAGTTTCACATTGCAGAACACTGACTTATTTGTTTTACCAAAATAATTGCTGCATCTGCTATTATGTAATTATTATATTTGTCTTGATCTCAACATTATCATGCAACACTGCAATGCTGAAGACATTAGCAAAATACACCCTGTACCATACAACAGATATGCGACTGTATGTGGCATATCTGAAGACTTGCTCTATGTAGGTAAGCTCTGTTGGTGTTTGTCAATACCAGATGCAGTATCAGTGCAATGTGTTCCTATATGCGGACATGCATCTTCTGCCTCTGCTGTTCAGCAACCGGAAAGATCATGTACATGACGAACCACTAAGTTTCACTCAACTGCCTCCACATTGATTTCAGCTTGTTTAAAAACACACTTTCCAGAAAGATATTCTGAAGAGAGCAAGATATGAAAATTCACCATTTCTTTTAATTTTTGTCCTCAAATGGTTGATAATCTTTCCTGTTTGTTTTTTTTTCTGGCTTCAGGTTGTACCTTTTCTAAAATACAGCTGAGATCTACATCTTCCACGAGGATTCTACCACCATTCACAGGATCACATCTCACGTCTTGAGGAGTATAATGATCAATCAAACACAACAGGATATTTTCACCTCTTCATTCATATCGTTAATCATGTTTGAATTTACTGTTATCCAATTTGACTCTATGCTGTTATTATTACTGGTTATGTACCACTGCCAAAGAGTGCTACTCAATCAATCAGGTTTCTGTTGTACAAGCACAAGTAGCTTGCAATAAAACTTGTAAACAGGAGCTAGCTTGATACTTTCATTTACAGAAGCAAAAGGCAACAAGAAGATCAAATGCACCAACTTGAGAAATAGCAGTCAAAACAAACCAGCTACTTAACCACACAAATTCTCTGCAGAGGAAAGTTTAATGAAACAAGCGAAAAAAATCTAGCTAGGGGGATGAGAGCAGCAGATGCCAGAAGCAGCAAGGCAGGGAAAGGGAACACAATCTCAGCAGGGGCTAACAGATGACATACAACAGAAAAAGCCAGAAAGGGAGAATAACTATTCCATTTCACAGAGAAGAGAGATCCAGAGGAAAGATACAGAAAGAGTTACTTTAATCTTGGCCATCACAAACCTAATCTCAGCTGTATATGCTATGAGGAATGTAGGTCTACAGTCTTCAACTACTGAAGCAGTGTATGCCAAAAACTTGTCTAGATTTTCCACTTGTACCGGCTAGACTAATACAAACATCATCTCTCCCTAACAAACCTTGTTTCTCATATGTATCTAGACTGTCACAGCTACAATATGACGACTATTTAAACTGTGGAACAAGATGTCAAAATATGTCATGCAGTGAGTTTAACGTCAGGCAGCTCTAGGCATAACTTATAGAAGCAATGTTACTCATCACAGTGCTTTATTCAAAGATACCTGTATGTGTAACTACTAAAAATCTGACTTTTAAATACACTAAGTCATTGACTTAGTGGTAGTGAAGTAGCAGGTCAATCACAATGGTATAAATAAATCTCATCATAAGAAAAGATTAAAATGAATTAGTTTTGACGCTGATTTTAAGAAATAATGTAAGTGAAAAGTTGCACTCACACATTCACTTATGCTTTATAGGCTCTTTCATTCTAAAAAGGATCTATATCCCCTAGAAAACAAATACAAATGTTCGCCATCTCCTTTGGAGTAATTTAGTATCATAATACTGATGTGATGTGATGGTTGCAGGCCGTCTTGGGCACAGCAATCATGAAATGACAGAGTTTTCGATTCTCAGAGGAGTAAGGAGGGGCGTCAGCAGAACTGCCACGAAATGACAGGTTTTCGATTCTCAGAGGAGTAAGGAGGGGCGGCAGCGGACCTGCCACCTTGGGAGGGCAGACTTTGGCCTGTCGAGGAGACAGGTTGACAGATGACAGAGTTTCTCAGAGGAGTAAGGAGGGGCGTCAGCAGAACTGCCACTGCCACCTTCCAGAGTG